GGGGGGGGGTCTGGTCCCCCTTCCAGGGCCCTGCCCTGGATCCACTCCTAAATGAATCCACTTCTGGCAAGGGCTAGCTACGTTCTTGTAAAAAAGAAACTAAGATAGAGAATAAAATATTGGATAAGTAAGCAAAGTAAAAATACATGTGTTTGCTCTGGTTAAATTGTGTATACATGTATGTAACCTTGTGCTTCTATATTTCCACCTGTTTTGTTTACCTTATTAAAAATAACATAAATGCCTTCTTCCGTCATCATCAGTTAGTAATCTGTGGACCAATTCCACCACGAATAAAAACAACAATGTAAATAAAGAAAATAAAGAGATGAATAAATGAATAAATATAAATAAACATGTAAATAAATGTATATATCAATAACTTTTACAGTTTACGTCGTAAATCAGACTATTTTGGCAAGAAGACACGCGTCCCAGGTAGGTAGCATATATCCTTAAGCTGTTTGTCAACATAACAAAATGTCTTTTTTGTGACAAGAAAGGAAACTAATTATTCTATTATGTCACCCGTACCTGTGATGACGTCACACCTGGTTATACAGGTAGGACTAGAACCATGACTCCGGGCACGTTTATAAAAGATAAGCGTCTTAAGATCAGTAATATTGTATAATACATTCAATCTCAGAAATTTTGTATGTCGATGAATGAAAGCAGAAAGATTGATAACTTGGAATTCATTTTGTCATTTCAGATTTGTTCAATGTAAATGGGCACGTCGCTTAGCATGGACAGAGATCGAACTTGTACTTTCATTGTATATTTAAATACGGCTTATAAATACCTAACATATGGAAAAAATCAATTCCAATCCCACAGGCAAGCCTTTTAATGCCAATCAGAGACCAAGTTTAGGGTAGAACTAATTAACAATGAAAGACGTTGGACGTAATTAACGCGAGCTTATGACCTGCTCTGAATGGGAACCCTCGTTCACGGTTCATGAGGAAATAATATCCAGAAAATTCCATATGGGAACGCGTATACCCTGTGATAAATATATGTATGTATTGACTTGTAATATGCTGTGATATTTTCTAATGTTCTAAATGCAATTCTGTGATTTTTAGTGATACAATACAATAGGTTGTTTTAATAATGTATTGTACTATTTAACTATTTTTTCTATTTTATTGTATGTCATATGTCTCTGTATGCGTGATGTGCTGTTGTTTTATGTATGTATATATAATGTGTTTTACAGGGCCATATTGTAAACAATAGAAAATCTAAATATGTTACCCTGTCTAAATAAAAGAATTTATTATTTATTATTATTATTTGCATAATATATATAAATACATTATGTCATCTTAGCAAAAATGACCACATGAAAGTAAATAATCACTTCCGGTTTTACACGTGCTACGTACAGATGTACATACCACAGAGACGCTGTTTATAAATAGCATGACTCATTTTAATGTTAGTGTTACTTATCCCTACTGTTTTAGTAAGTTTATACGATTAACACTATTGTTGTCGTATACAGGTCTTGACAAAAAGCAAACAGCTTCAAAAATGTGTCGCTGACTTAATCGACTATACATACTTTGCAGCACTTGTGATTACGATACCAGGAACAAGCTTCTTATCTCCCATTTATCAGTGTATTTCATACAACAGCAATATGTATCTAAGCCAATTAATACCGACGTTTAAAAGAATTCAAACTTCAAATTTCAGAAAAGAAAACCAACACAAACTATCACAAAAAGTATGCTAGAAACCCAACCATGTGTTAATTTTCAGAAATTCTGTTGTCAAATAATACAAAAGAATTACAAAACCTGTTCTGTATTTAAAATATGCTGATATCAAATGTAGAACTGTTCTGCAGTGGCGTTACTATCGCCTAACAGTATAACTTGTGTAGTGCATGTCTGCACTGCAACTGACATCGAGCACAGGGACCTGAGAATGTGATACAGCTATTTTTAACTAAAACTAATCTAAACCCTTAAAACGTGTAAAGTTACGTTGAACCCTTCAGTTTAAGTCCAAATACAGTTCAGAATTCTCAGGTCCCTGTGACACCGATGAGCTACTTGACCTTGTATAGAACATGAACTTGAATTCGTCTGCTGGATAACCGAACTACTCCGTAGTGAAGCGGACGTAAAACCTATCAATCAATCAATCAATCAACTTGAAACTGAACGGTCTGTTGATTACTAGAGATTTAAAACACAAGTAGGGTAAGGTTAGGATTTGTCGGTGGGTTAGGTCTGTGTAACAGTTGTTTCCTTGCCAATTAAACTGTGTCATTTCATTGATAGATAACTTTATAATATCTCTTGAACTACGAGCTATACATATAAATAAACAATTTGTGACTCACATAAAGCATATATACATACACTGTACACTACACACACATGTATACACTCATAGATGTCTAAACGGTTCTGAATTTCAGCACTTACTAATTTGTCAATTAGAAACGTAAAATGTCATCATGCCACGTGTCACACTAATACGTTAACATATAATTTGATTAAAGTTTAGGTTGTCAAAAATAATATTAGGAGCCTTACCTTTTATCTACCTGTCTGACGTATGGGTCGTGCACACATACCGCGGTAACGTCACAAAGGATACTCTCTATGTATCACACATACATACACACCTGTACACTGATAACAGGTTAGCGATCTACAATATATACAATATATATACACCTATTAACAGTTTATACATATTGTACATTTCTCACCTGTTAATTAAAGCTCATGAGGTGAAAAACACTTACCTGTAAAGTCTGTTCCTCGTCGTGTCGCGTTTCTGTGTTTGACCTTCAACTGACCATATATGTAAATACTTGCCACGAGATGGCTGGCTTTAGACTGACCAGAGGGTGTTAAAACTGACCATCGCCTGAAGTGATTCTAGTTGTACACAGAATATCACAACCAACGAACCGTGGCGAGGTCAGGACCGGTGAAGCGTTTGACTTTCAGACGTATTCGGTGTCTCCTTCAAATTTCACCAGGTGAAATCACAATGCCTTACCTGTCTGGCAACCTCAGACAGGTAAGGAAAAGGCAGGTAAATATAAAGGAAATGTACAAGATTAAACGGGGCCTTGAAAAGAGAGGTCGACCGCATGCCCAAGTACAACGTAGTCAAATACATGTACTACACGGCTACATGGGCGATACATTAGAAATTTTATAGAACATTAATTATCTATAACGACATGCATGTTAAATTTATCTCCATTTCAGGAGAGTTACATTATGACAATAATGTTAAATTCGCTTTCGAAAGGTAATTAGTAGATGGTCAATTAATTGACGGTGCGTTTTAAATCATAATTTAATATTGATGAAACTGTTTGATGAGAGAAAATGTAAGCGATTTTCCGCTTCGGTTATTCTGATGATAAGTTATTTCCAGGGAGATAACTCTAACACAGGTATATGTTGTATAAGGCAGCATACTTCCTTAAACAGATTTGTTGCATCAATCAACCAATCAACCAATCAACCAATCAATCAACCAATCAATCAATTAATCCATTACCCAGATTATATAATATGTCTCTTTCCTCCTTTATTTTCTTTCATGAATATTACGAATATTAAATGTTGAAAATATTAAGAACAAGAAAGCATTATGAGCACAAGTCAGTTCAACCATTTGGACCGGCCCATGTTTGCTTTCTGTTGACAACTGGCTACTGTCATTTGATACTGTTGGTGACAACGCGTTGTACTTTATTGTGAAAACTGATCTAGCATGCGCATAACGTACACGTTGTTGGCTTGTTACCAAGTGACAGCTTTAGGTTAAACTATATAAAAGTATTTAAGATATTCCGTAGAACACAGGGATTCGAGAATCGGATGCAAAATAGAAACACATATACTCTCGTACTTGTCTTACTGTGTCACAGGGACCTGAGAATCAGTTTGGACATATCATAATGTGTAGGGAGTATCATTAGAAGTTTCAGGGGTTAGGATCAACACTTCTTACATATTATTGATCAAAACGTCTTGTTATTTCCTACACATAAGAAAAGTTCAAAGCATACATTCTGCATTTGGTTATCAAGTCCATGTGAGTAGAACGCCTGAAATCGACCGCCACAGATAGCAAAGTTCGTTTACCTGAATCGAACTTAAATTACTGTTAATGGTTAAATGAATCACACACTCAGAAAGAACTCGGACAATAACGCACTAAGTGTATGTGTGTACGATGCTTGATATGACTCTTGCTTAATTTGGTTGATACAGAATTGAAAGCAAATTCATTAAATATAAGAGACGTCTTTAAAAGCAATACACACCGTTACCGCTAGGGGGCAGTGCTTGATGTCAATTATCCTTATCCCATCCTCCCTATTTGAAAGTATAAACTATTTTTAAAAAAATCTTCAAGTTGGTAAGTATTGATTGTGAAAAGATTCATGTAGCACAACCAATAAGTTTATACTACACTCATTGGTTGTGCTACATGAATCTTTTCGCGAAGTACTTTTTTTTAAACAGAGATTAATGCATGTCTTTTTTCCATATCACACCCAGTATCAACCCGAGACTGCAATATCAGCCCGAGGACCGTGTTATTGCAGTCTATGGCTGATACTGGGTGTGATATGGAAAAGGGCGTGTTTTATTCGAAAAAAATCCAAATGGGGTGTGATACGGGTTTTGCGGGCTGATACAGAGAGGGCTGATACGGGTTTTGGGGGTGTGATACGGTGGGGGCTGATACGGGTTTTGGGGTGTGATACGGCGAGGGCTGATATGGGTTAGGGCAAATGTGTTGTATTGCATATACAAAAAACCCGTATTTATTAGTAAGTATGTAATAAATGTCTATAACTCCAGTGCGACTCTGTTACTATGATACATGTATCCCTCTGTATAACCACGCATGCGTATTACTGTAAACACGAAATCTGTGCATGTTAAAAATATCTGTATGCTATTGTAAATCAAAGGTGTTGAGATAAATAAAAAAAATTGTAAAAGTTTTTAAAAATGTACCCAAGGGGTTACGCCCAATGACGTTCGCTCCACATCAAAAAGTAATCTTAATTAATCCAATCTCCAGGAAAAAATACTTATACTTAACGTTAACTCAACTTTCGTTTAACCGTAACCTTAACTAGATTAGTTACTTTAGCCTTAATATCAACTTAACTGTCGTAAACTAGGTAACTACATTTACCCATAACCTTATTCAGGCTTACCCTCAACCAATCGTAACCTAAACTCTCCCCAAACTTAGCTATCGTTAACCAGATAACTACATTAAACCCCAATCTTAACTATGCTTAACCTCAGCTAAAACTAAGTCCAACATTCCCTCGACTCATCTTTCGTTAGCCAGGTAGATATATTTAAATAAGTCTAAACAAGACTTAACCTCAGCTAAATTAACGTCAACTAACCCTCGACTTATCTATCGTCAACCAAAACTACATTTAACCTGAACTAAGTTACTAGTTGAATACAGGTATCTTGTCAGTAACAAGGGATACTATTGTTCTGTATTTTATATAATAATGTTAACCTGCGAATTTTCCAACGATTGCTAAATGTTTCCTATCCAGTTTCAAAATATACGTTTTTGCCTACTTTCTAAAACAGGAAAATCAGTCACAGTTCTAGCCGCTTCTATTTGTACTTTTTCCAGCCTCCGCCCCCTTCCCCCATCGTATTTGCATTAATTTATTCTTCCATAGCTTAATTGAAATCGTAAATATAATCATTAAAATCGACAATAAAACAAGAGGCCGGCCCTGAGAGAAATCAGCAAACGATTCCGCAAGAATATTATACTTATATCACGGAATTAGCTATCTAAGTCCGTGCTTATATAGAGTAGGAGTAATCATATCCGGTGTGAAAACACCGCCACATTTGTATTTTCAATTATTCCAATCAAACCCGCCTACTTATCAAATATCACACCGTTGACGACACGACTGGCACTGTCGCAATTTGCACGTGTTTTGCTAGTAAAGCGTCTTCGTGACGAAGACTCAGGGCCCATACCATTTGTGGGTACGGTGGACTGTAACAATGAATGGACTGTGCGGGATTTATTGGACTGTTTAATGTTTACAGTGTTATATAATTCATTTTTGGATACACGATTTCTGAAGACGTCTGAGAGGTAATAAACAGCTTCATGGCGTATCAAAGACTGCAGGTAAGTGCGTTTAATTGTTTTTCTTTCATGTCGGTTGCCGATTAGGTCACGTGGTGTATTCAAAGCCGGGCGATCAGTGTTCGAATGATACAAATGTAACCGATTTTCTTTTCTTTTTCTGGTATAACTTCGAATTTTACTGACGAAGTAGACACGAGGAGATAAGTTATGGAAGGGAATCGCCGCCATAACTTGATCTAGTTAGTTACATTGTACTTCTTGTTCGATCAGGTCTCGCGTTGTATTGAAAAGCCTGGCGATGAGTATTAGAATGATAACCGGTGTTTTTTTTTGTTTGTCTGTGTCTCCTTTAACTTTGACTTTCACTGACTAAGTCGAGGTCAGGGAAGGGAATCATCGCCATAACTTGATCTAGTTAATCATCGCCATAACTTGATCTAGTTAATCACCGCCATAACTTGATCTAGTTAATCACCGCCATAACTTGATCTAGTTAATCACCGCTAATCACCGCCATAACTTGATCTAGTTAATCACCGCCATAACTTGATCTAGTTAGTTACTTCTTGTTCGGTCTTCTATATCACCCGATATTGTATTGCGCTCATACACTCAATCATACATTCATACAATTGTCAACTAACTCTCTTTACACGTTCATGTCAATACTCATTCACTATATGATAATGTCATCTAAATTGGCTAGCAACTATCAACAATTATGTTGGAATTAATTTAAATACAGATAATAAGTCATTTATACAGAAAAGCATAAATAATAGTTTGATAATATTTAAACATTTAATTACATCAACCTAACCGTTTAGATGCAATACTATACTTTTCAACATTAGACAATATAAACATATTTATTTCAGTAGGTAAGTCAGTATTTCCAGATGTCAAAAGATGGACATTGAAATAGCCAACTCTGGTATAGATATCATGAATTAAGTTTCTGTAATTAGGGTCATCTGGACGAAAGAAGAAGAAGTGTTCAGAATGTTCAATTGGATGGCCGCATGAACAGGATGAATCAGGAGATAGATGGTCAGCAAATTTGTCATAATTTAGGTCACTATCATTATTTCTAAGTTGGCAGTGGATAACATTTAACTTTGTAGGGCTACAATGTAGAAAAAAAGGAATAATATTTACAGGTGGGATTCTTTCATTATTCAATTTGGATTTGAAAATACTTCATGATGGTGCTTAGATTATTCCAGGATCAAGAGAGTTCAATATTCTCATGACGTCTGGAATAAAATTATTACCAAATACATTAGATCTATTATATTAGAAAATCTGTGTTGCCTAGGATTATGAGGTGGAACAGCATCATTAATATAAGGTTTAACAATGGCATGTAAATATACTGGTGCCATATGATTAAGGATTTTAAACATTGAAATAAGTCTGTGTTTATGACGCCTAGAAGAGAGCAGATCAAAACCAGTTTCAGTATATAGTTTCTGATGTGATGTTACACTTCGTAGTCCAGTTATTGTTTTCATGGCCTCAATTTGTACAGACTCTTATAGTTTAGCTTCACCAATAGTTAATTGTTCCAAACAACATCGGCATGCTCAAGAATAGGTCTTACATACAGTGTAATTAAAGCATTTCTGTCGACTTTGTATTTGAGTGTCCGTAAAATATTCAATATTTTGCATGCTTACTCCATGAACCTTTGGAATTGAGTAACAGACCTAAGTGTTTATGATAAGTTATTTCATTTACTTTTTGATTGTCAAGGAGAAGTGGAGGATGATTAGGTTGTTTTTTTGTAACAGTTAATGCAACTGTTTTGTCTGGATTAATAATTTTTGTTTTCATTGGTTAGCCAAATTTCCAGATCTTTATTCAGATCCATGTATGGAGCAACCACATCTTCATCAACAATTACATGTAATGACGTATCATCAGCAAATAATTTCATATGGGTATGAATTTCATTTGTTATATCATTAA